GGGGGCCCGAAATAAGCCCGGACGAGGAGGAGAGGGTCTGAGCTGTGAGCGTGGGGACCAACGCGGGCAGCGCTGCTTGGTGTTGGTGGACCCCCCGCATTTGGGAGGGAAGGGGGAAGGGGGGTCATGTTCAACATGTCTCGGCCGGCCGGACCGAACCGAACCGCGGGTGGGTCTCGGCCGCGCGGGACCGCTGGTCACGCGCCGGGCTGCCATGAGTATTCTGCAGACGTGCTCATGGCTCGCATGGCAAAACACACACACACTCGTTGGGGGGCTCTCCGAGCGACGGAGTAAGGAGAGCCTGTAGCTGGCATGCGAGGCTGCCTGCCACCTCGCGGAGGCTCTGCATGAGCTGGTGGAGCACGCCTGGATATTTCTGCTACGACATATGCACAAGGACGAGGTAGGTGAGAACAAGAACACCGGTGAGGCGGGGAGACGGGGCGCCCGGCCCTCGCGCTTAGCTCGCGGGGGCTCGGAGTCGGGGGCTGGGGGCGCAGGGGTGCCGTTGCGCTGACTCACGCCTTTTCCAATACGTCCGGACGAACGCGCGGTGGCGATCCCGCGAGCCGCGCATACGCCAATGACCTGCACGGGGGCCGCGCGAAGGGTTGGGGTGGCTTTCCCGGAAGGAAGTGTTGCGTCCGCGCGGGCGTCACGGGGCGGCCCGCGGGAGGGGCAGCGGGGGCGGAGCAGCGGGGGGCGGAGCAGCGGGGCGGGGCATCGGGGGACTTGGCGCTCGCCCGCGGTGAATATTTTAGAGCCAAGGATTGTCCCCGTGGATTCGTGAAAGCCGCGGTGTATGCGAAGGTCTTCGGCGGGGCGGGGAGGGACGGGACGGCCCGGGTCGAGAAAGCGGATGACGATGACGGGCCTGCGAAGGGCTCCGCGAGAAGCCCGGCCCTGTCCGCGCGCGGCCTCCGCGGGGTGATCGAAGACCGGTCATTGCCACTCACAGGGGATCGATTCGATCCGTTGACCTTGGAGCGCGCGCCTCGGCGGCAGCGAGAGCCCCATAGCGACTGCCCAACCCATATGGCCCCCCGTGTCATATGGGCGGGGGCGGGGCGGGGCCGGGCGTACCAGGGCGTGGCAGCCAGCCGCGGGGCGTTCCAGGTGACCGAGCGCGGATGATGCTCCGCGCCGTGCGGCCGCGTCACGTATACTCGCGCCTCCCCTCTCGCGGGGATGTCCCGCCGCTGCCCCGCTGCCCGCGGACGTTACCCTCTGCGCCGCCCGCCTCCACCACACCAGCCCCCGGGGGTGGCCCGGGGCCCGGGGGGCGGCCCCACCCTCCCCGTGCGGAAGTTATAGGCCCGGATCGCTTCCGGGACTGAAAACATATCGAGCCCACCACAGACATGACTGACAGCGCGCGCAAAAAAACAGACATGGCAGTAGGGATAAATGCTCAATAACCAATCAGGAACGTTCATCATGTGCACGCCTTTCTTCTTCACCCGGGGTGTGAGCGCCCTCGCCTGCCCCGCCGCCGCGGTCCGTCACCGTCCATTCATCGGATGAGCCGCGGATGGCGCACGTTGCGTCAGCAGCATCAGCTGCGTCGGCGCGTAACGGACTAGGTACGGGAGCAGCGCGCTCAGCAGCCGCCACAACCGCGCCCCACCCCGCCTCAACACGTGAGCGCCTTTCTCCGACGGGGGGCAGGGTCCGCGGCCCGCGCCGCCGCACCGCGACATGGATTGCGCGAGTGAAGAGAAGACTGACCGGTGCTTCCGCGAGCGCGTCACACACTCATGTACTACACTGCGTGGGTTCTCTCCGCTATGGACTCTCTATGTACTGTACCGCCATGCAGGCGTGCGAACCGTTTGCATACTCGCGGTGGGGCCATATGAGGTCGTGCGCGACCACATGATGCTCCATTCATTTTCGCGATCCTTCTCGGCGGCAGAGCAGGTGACAGCGTCAGTGCGCCGGTGACGCGACTCCTCCGCCCCCGACTTGGCAGCGGGTTTGTAAGGAGGGGAGGGGGGGGGGAATCGCGCGGCGCCTGCTGACCCTTACCTAGGCATCGTTGCATCACTGCCCTGCTCCACTACTCGCCGCCGTTGGGCGGGCGTAGTGAATCGGTGCCTCGCTCTAGTGGCGTTGTCTTCGTCGCCTTGGCTCTGACGCCTCCTCCTCCTGCTGCTCCTCGTGGAGAAGACCCCTCACCTGGTCTGACGGGACGCGCCCCCGCACCACGCCTCCCGCTCACTATCCTTGGCAGTGACCGCCGCGCGGCACCGTGCTCGTCTTGGCACGGGCAGGGCGCGGGGCGCGGGGGGCCCGACGCGGGGGATGGGGCAGCAGCTGACTCGCGGCCACACCTGCCTCGTATCGCCGAGGCAGGCAGGCGGCCACATTGTTTGCGATTCCGCCGTCCGCCGATTCCATTTCGCATCCACATAGGACGGCTGGCGGCTGACGCGACGGAGGCGACGTGTCACATCCGGCGCGCGCTTCTCTTTCACTCTTTCTTCTGTCTCGGCCACTCACTCGTTCCCTCTCTTTCTCTCTCGATTCGCCCCATTTCTCACCTTTTTACAATGTTTTTGCCAGAACGCCAAGCCAAGCCAATGTCCTTTGGCCACGATTTTTTTTACATCCATTGGGGTTGTTTTCCGGTGTGCATGACTCCGCGTTACCTTCAGGACCCGCGATGTCTTTTGGCTCGCCTCGACATCCCCCGCCCCTCCCCCCTCCCCGCCAATGCGCGTTCGAGTACATAACGCCAAAGGTGGAGTGAGCAGAGGTCGGCGACAACTCAATCTCAGCCATGAAAAAATAATAACATTAGTTCCATATTTACATGAGCATGACTCTGCTCACCTACCTGTTTGCGCCTGGGTGTATGAACCCGCGACTCCATCTGATTCTTTTTGCGCTCCTGCTGGCTCCAAGCCCGAGTGCAAAACCACGTCAGACGCGCGGGGGGGGGCTCGGCGCCTTCTGCCCCACAAAGTACATTTGTGTCTACCCTCCCGGCAAACTGTCATTTTGGCCAGGTAAGGCACAATCGCACATGGATGTGGGAGACTGGGGCTTACGTTTCTCTCTGCCGCCTCATCTCTGCGGGACGGCGGTCATGTTCTCAAGTCGCGATTTCACCTTGGACGAACAAAATCACTCGCGCAATCAGGTGGGTCCAACCGCAGCGCCGACGGCGCGGCCGCAACAACTGTGGCACCGCTGCACCGGAAGGCGGCCGTCACCTTTGCGACCGGAGCAGGGTGACTGGGTTAAAAGCGAGGTGACGGGTAGCTCATCCACTGGGTTTGGAGTGGGGTGACGGGTAACTTGTTGACTGGTACAGGTTGACGGGTAGGTCATCTATACTGGGTTT